TGTAGAACCTTAAACCAATCAAGATTAACAATTTATTTAGTTTGAAAGGATGAAAGGGGAGAAAAAAACCAAAATTTTCTTATTTGATTAACAGAAACTTAAAGAGAATGGGATGAAAGGGGATTTTTTGCTTCTATCTTCTGTTTATATATATATATATATAAAGTAGGCTAACCAAACAAGAAAGTTGGGAAGGAATTGGAAGACAAATGCATATCCTTTCACTTCCCTCATCTTTCTCTCTGTTTTGTCAGACCAAACAAGAATAAAAATTTTAAACATGATTAAATCTCTTATTTGTACTCTATATATTATTATTTTTTATGATTAATATCTTCTAAAAATTTCATTCTTAATTAATATCATTCATAATTTAAAATTTATTTAAAAAAACCTAAAAATTAACAACTAAATTTCCTATTTACACTCTAATTTAATCAGTAATTTAAAGTTCCTTAAAGATTTCAAATTATTAAAAATATTGGTTCCCAGTGAAAACTCTAAAAAAAGCCCACAAAAAATAATAATATTATGGCTAGAAACAGACGTTTGGCCTCTAAACTCTGCAACATAAAACAAGGAAAAGGAGGATGGAGAAAGTTACTAACATCATTTCTCAATCATACCTACCTTTTGGAATCGGAAAGAGGAGAGGAGCTTATGAAGGAATACATCAGAATAACCTAGAAAACTAAACTAAAATAAAATCACACTGCCAAAGAGAAGGAATCAAGGAATTCCTTCCTCTTTATCCCAACCCAAAGCCATCCTTTTTCTCCCATTTCTGTTAACATTCCCTTTCCCTCCAAAACGTATTTAAAGCCTCACGTTTCCCCTCCTCCATCCCAAATAGTCTGTCCATCCAATGGAGTTAGGAGGATGAGAACCTTCCATTACTTCTGGTGCCACCATTCTTGATCCCCCTGTTAGGTGACAGAATGTTAATTATGACATAATGACTTCCGACCAGTGAAACAACCCTTGGATCACCCTTCACTGCGTCGAACCACCGCCAAGACCTGTTGCGCCAGCCGCAATCAGGGGGCAACATTAATTTGAGGAGGAACAGGGGATGGATCAGGATTTCCTTGACAGCGTTACTGAGAACGGCCGTCCAGGACCTCCTCAGACCCCTGCATCCTCCATAGAATCCTTACGGAGGCTAAAGATTTCTCAGACCCAATTTAGAAACGACACGCTCTGTCCCATTTGCAAGGACGAATTCCAGGTGGACGGAGAAGCAACAGAACTCCCCTGCAAGCACCTGTACCACTCCGATTGCATTATCCCCTGGCTCAGCATCCACAACACCTGCCCCGTCTGCCGCTATGAACTCAATGACAATAACACCGGCGTGGTTGACGAGGATGAAAATAACTCCGGCAGGATTAATTTCAGTACTGTTGAACAGATGACAGATATGCTGGGTTGGCTCTGGAGACAATTTCTGTCCCTGAGACCTTTACTGTATCTGAGACCTGTCCGAGCAGTTGCCGATTGGACAAGATTGTACATTGATTTTGTTTTTCGGTACATTGTGCATTAACTTTTCAATTTGGGCAGGTAAGGTAATTATATATCTTACACGGTACACACAGTTTCCTGCCCTCAAATTCATGAAATTTTTTAGTACAGAATAAGTATGGGTACATGTACCGCACCAACTAAGATGTTAAAATGTAAATAAGATTATTCATATTTGCTAGAGAGAAAACCCCGGGGACTAGCTGTTTTAATCATTCGTTTATTCTTATTTTCTCCTTCTCCCAAGTTATCCTATTTAAAAAAATAATAATAATAAAGAAAGCAGCAAATTGAAATTCCTTTGGTGCAGTGCTTGTGTTGATAAATAGTTTACATGGTTTTAAAAAGCAAGGGGAAAAAAAAAATCAATTTCATCATTATACGTGAAGCATTTATTTAGCTTAAAATATAAAAAAAAATAAATATATTTTTTGGTTTTCTACATTATGTATTTCAATGAGTTTGTTTTTCTTGTAAATATTCTTCCATTTTCCTAAGTTATTAAATTTGTCAACTATTAAAAATATAAATTTTGTTTGTCTTTTTGTTTAAGAGAGCTCACAAAATCCCCTAAAATTGTGATTAGGAGATGTCATCGAATCTCTTGCCCATTAGATTGAAGAATGGAGAGTGAACAGCTAGCCAGGAAAGTGTATTTCAAAACTTTATGAGTTAGGTTAAAGTCTCTTCCTTTCAAATTTGTACTTGTCAAAAAAAAATAAAGAAGAAGAAGATGAAAAAGAGTGAAGATCTAAAACATAAAAATTTGAAGTTTCTTGTCATGCACATGACTATGATTATTGTGATGCAGCTATGTTTTTTAAGTCTTTGAAGAATAAATTAATGATCCAATAATTAAGAGTTTGAATTTTTATATTAAAAATTATGAGTTTAAATTATATAGAGAGGGATTTGAAAAAAAAATATCCCTTATTATATTATGTTTTTCAAATTGCTAAATATACTCATTACCTTTTGATTGTTATTTTGATGGTTTTGTCTTCTTGGACCTTGATTATGTAATTAGAAGACTTTGTTTTAATCTTTCCATGTTGATTCTCGGCAAAGAAAGATACACAAGCTATGGAAAATAAATGCTTTTTGGATGCCAATGAATTTAACTAAATCAGTGTTAATCTCTTTCATTTAAAAGTAAAAAGATCTTAGTTTGAATTACATAATATGCAAATAAAATGAATTAAGAGATAAAAAAATTTCTCTCATCATACAATTCAAGATAAAAATAAAAATAAAAAGAGAAGCAAGCTTTTGATCTACACAAAACTAACCATTAAATGATAACTGACTCTGATATAAATATATAGAAGTG